ATGGAATGATTTGAAAAATCTTAAAGCGACTGATACAAAAATACTCCAAGGAGAGAATGAGGAGTTAGTGTTTAATGGGTTTTAGTTTGGAAAGAAGGGAAAGTTCTGGAGATGGACAAGTGGTAATGGTTGCACAACAATGTGAATATACTTACTGCCCTTGAATTATATACTTAAACTTGATTAAAATGGTAAATTTTATGTTATGTATGTTTTACTGCAATTAAAAAAAAATACTCCAAGTAGTAAGGATAAAGACTGAGCTTTTGTTATCTTTTTCATAATAGAATATCTCAAATGGAAATTTTTGAACTGAAAAATGTAATAACTGAGTAGAAAAACTCCATGGATGTGCTAACAGCAGAATAGAGATGCCATAGGAAAAAAATCCGTGAACTTGAAGAGTGATCAATAGAAATTACCCAATCTGAACAACAGGAAAAACAAACAAAACAGGATCAATGGGATGTGTGGTACAATTCAAAAAGGTCATCAGAGTCATAGAAGGATGGGAGAAAAATTATAGTGTGTAAATGTCCATAGCAGCTCTATTCATTACCCACCCCCTCAACTGTAAAAAAACCCCTCAATGAATAAATCAATAAAGAAACTGTGGTACATCCATATAAAGCAATGCAGCTCACCAATACACAGGAATGAGCTATTGATACTTGCAACAACCTAGATAAGCCTCAATGGCATTATTCTGAGTGAAAAAGCCAGTTTCAGAGATTGACATACGTATGATTCCATTTATATGACATTCTCAAAGATAAAACTAGAGTGATAGATCAGCGGTTACGAGAGGTTAAGGGTGGGGAGAGTGTGTCACTACAAAGGGAAACAGGAGGGTTTTTTGAAAGGTGATGGAACTGTTCTGTATCCTGTTTGTGGTGGTGGTTACGCAAATCTACACATGTTAAAATTCATAGAACTATACACCCCAAAAAAGTACATTTTACTGTATGCTAATTAAAATAAAATAAAACAAAACTTGTGGTAGTCAGCCTCAAGCTGGCCCACAGTGATCCTCACCTCCTTGTACTTACGCCTTTCTGTAGTCCCTTCTCACACTGAATAGGGTTGGCCTGTGTGACCATGAAAAATGGTAGAAGTGATGCCTTATGACTTCTGAAGCTAGGTCATGAAAGACACTCTATATCACATCCTCACACTTTATATATTTTTTGGTTCCTCATTCGTTTCTCCCCTACTAGGAAGCAAGCTCCATGGGAGGAGGGACTCAAGTCACAGAGGTTCAGTGGTTTAATTTGTATTCCCATTTTACAGTTGAGAACACTGAGTCCCAGTGATTACACACTAGATTAATGTTAAAGGTGTGCTGTGCACCCAAGACTTGGGACTCCAAACCTAGTGGCTTTTCTAGAGGGTTACCCACTCCAAAGACCTCATTTTCTAGTCAAAGAAGAAACAAGAATTCAAAGAGGGCCAGGGTCTTTCCTGCCACAAAGAGGCAGTTCTCTGGACCCTCCCCTTGTACACCACTGGCTTGCTCCTCAGAAGCATGATCCTCCAGGGGTAAGAGGGGCTCTCTCCTGCCAGCCCATTTCCCCAGCAGGTGGGGTGTTCAGGCCCCTGTTTGCTCATTGGCAATGGCTGGGAGAAGATGGTCTCACCATGAGCAAACACAGCACTGAAACATCGAGGAGAGAAGTAAAGGAAGCTTGCAGCAGGCACAGCCTGGTGGAGCAGGGCTATTGGAGCCCCAGTAAAGCTTAACCCCCATATCTGGAGCCCTCGTAATAGTTGTAAAACATTCTTGTGCATTTTTAACTGGCAGCTCCATGCCAACTGCTGGTTCACAGTTGAAGAAACTCAGCCTCAGAAAGATGATTTTGCAATTTTCTGAAATAATAACACTATTAACATCAAGCATCTATGATATGCCAAGTACTATGGCAATATTAGTCCCTTAAATTCTCACAATGGCCGTATGAGGTAGGATGAATTTGTATCACATATGGGTTTAACAAATTAGGGAAGAAAGACAATTAAGTTTGTCTTTATACTTTAGGACCTAACTTTAAAGTAAGATGAGACTCAACTGAAGACTTTATTTCCGTTTGACAGATGCAAAAGCTGAGGTTCAGACAGACTAATAACTTGACTGAGTCATACATTAGTGGTTGAGTTGGGATTGGAACCCAAACCTCCTCGACTGTGTAGATCCAGCATACTACAGCACCAGAAAAGAAATCAGAGTATTAGACCCAAGGTAAGTTGCTTGTCCCAGAGCTACATGAAAAACCAATGAAACCAGACAGTGTAGGAAACAGGCATTATGCCAGGGAGGATGAACTGGCATAACTTCTTTGAAGGGCAATGTGGCCGTGCCAATCAAAATTACAAATGCACATACCCTTTTGTCCCACCAATGCCACTACCAGAAACCTATCCTACTGATGTATTTGCACACGTGGGAAGTGGGACCCATTCCATGGTCTTAATTGCAGCTTTGTTCATGGTGGCCAAAAACATCAAACTTAAATGTCTCACAAATGTTAAATGCATTAGAGTCTGTTCATATTATTGAATATTATGAGGAGGGTAAAAAGAGTGATAAAGATCTGCACATCTGATCTGGAAAAAGCTCTAAGGTCAAAGCAAGAGCCATGCAGTATGGCTTTGTGTGTGTGAGTGTGTTTGTGTGTTTTTTAAGGATATACGCATGGATGTATGTATGCCTATAGATGGCATGAAAATTTCCTGGAAATCTTGCAATAAAGTGTTAGCAGTGTTTGCCTCTGGGGAGAGTTCTGGGCTAGGAGGAGGCACTAGTTTTTCACTCTACAGGTATATTCTTTTGTACTTAAAATTTTTTTTACCTTATACATGAATTTGTTTTCAATAAAATCTTTGCATAATTTACCCAGCCAGAACCCCTCTTTTGGCACTGCTCTCAAGGGGCACCACGGCGGCCCCCTCACTCATACAAAGATGGCTCAAGTGACCCCTTAGTGAGTTGTGAAAGACCCCCTCCTCCCATCCTCACCCTATTTGCTGGCCTTTGACCTGGAGATGCCCTGATTTAGATCTGACCGAATGGCCACCTCGGTTTAAAAGCCCCCTCTGGCTCCCCAAGGGAAAGGGCAAGACCTCTTAGTTGGCATTCCAGGCCCTTGACACACTGCTCAAACCTTCCCATGCTGTCTCATCTTCAGTCCCCACCTCTGAGATCCACGCACAGCACTGCTCACTGCTCCCCACAAGCTCAGCTCTCTTCTGGTCTTCACCATACAGTCTTCCCCCTGTTAACGACCGTAACACCCAGTTCAGATTGTGTCACTTCTCTTACAACACAGGCTTCACTGGCTCCCTGCTGCTCCTAGGAATACAAACTACGCTGGTATTCAAGGCACCCTCTCCCGCCATGTTTTGACCCCAATGATCTTTCCAAAATCTTCCCCTAACTCAGCCAAACTAGACAAATTATGGTCCCCAATTTGTACTTTTGCTCATGCAGTTTCCCCCATGCAGAATTCCTTTCCTTTCCCCCAGGGGCACTTGTTGAAATCATATCCATCATCTAACTCAACTCCAACCTCCTTCATAAATCTTCCATGATGCCAGAAGTCATCTCACCTTCCCAGACCACTTTCTCTGTATTTTCATTCATTCAACCCATATACAACAGGCACTCTGACAAGCCAAGCCCTGGGTTAGGCGCTGGTACAGGGAGATACATTAGACAGTCCTTGTTCTTGGGGAGGCTCTGGTCTATTTGGGGAAACTGAGGAGCAAATGTCCTCCAAGCACTGTGAGAGGCAGCGCAGCACAGGGGTTAAGGGCACTGACACTTGTCCCATACTTTCAGGGTTAGAGTCCCCGCTCTGTCACTTACAAGCTGTGTGACCTTGGGCTAGTTGCTTCACCTTGGAGTTAGCTTAGAACACAGCCTGGCACATGGTCATAAACACATGTTGGTTGTTATTACAATTTCAAGGTTCTGTGGGAGCTCAGAAGAGGAAAATCTCTCAGAATAAGACCTTGAAACATTAATGAGTATGACATAAGCGGAGAAAAAGCCTTGACAATAGCGGGGAGATGCGAACAATGAGTGGAGGATGAACAGACAGCCGAATTTCTCTCTTCAGTAATTTCAATACTTGCCCCTCCCTACTGACAGCTCCTGGGGTCTTATTCTGAGGGTCTTTAGGGTCTGGCATAAAGATAAAGCTGAGTGAGGGTCTCCTAAACTTCATCCTCGTAATTCACACATCATTTACTTAGTATTTTTCTCTACATCAAATCACTTTTTGTAACCCAAATAAATTACTTAAAAGGAAACTTTAAATCACATCTATAATTGAAAACACACAAAATATCCAAAAAAATAAATATATTGAAAGCAAAACAGTGTTATAAATTCTAGAGAGCTAATGTCCTCTGTCTGCTCTGTTACCAGGACAGATTAGCAGGTGGTAGAGGAGCTAATGACCTGCTGGCATGGAACAGAGACTTTCTTTTTGGCATTGTTAGCAGGCCTGAGAAAATGCTGAGACGACAATTCTCTCCTTCTGCCAGTGCCCGCACCTCCTTAACCACCACGTACACTGTTAGAGAAGGAGACGTCTCCCACGCTGCAGAGAATGAACGTGTCGCCAGTGTTTTGTTTTTTTTTTTTAGAGGCAGATCTCGAGAGGAATGGATTGTCCTCCCAGGCTTCTCTCTGCCCCTGGGTGGGTGGGTACTGGGGTCCCCACTTCTGCTGAGCCACTGCTAGTGGGGAAGGAGGTGGTTTCTGGGAAATGCCTTTTGTTCCTTCCCTTCCCACTGTTTACCTGGTTGGGCTTGGCGTCCTGGGCTGATGAACCATATAAAGGATTAGCTGTAAAAACAAACCAAACCTGCTTGCCCTTAAATAATGTTATTTCAAGGGAAAGATCCCAAGCCTGAAATAAACCAGGTTTCAAGGAAGAACTTGAATTAATTCTGACAACATAATCCAGAGAGCAGGATTTGCCTTCGGGCTATGTGTTTTTTTTTTTTTTCTGTCAACCCCACTAAGGATAGAGAGAAAATTGAGGGAAAGGATCTTTATTTGGGGGCCAGGGAAAGGTTATTATTTTCCTAAGCTTTTCTGAAGTGAACAGAACAGGGAAATGAGAGCCCAACTCTTTCTTCCTCCTCTACCCCATCTCTCCTTCCTTGCCCCCTTCCCCTCCACTCCCTTTCATACTCTGGAGGGTCTATGATGTATCAGGACAGCGTTTCCCAGCTTTGGTTCCTTTAAACATGAGTTCCTCCATTTCTGCCTAATCCACAACCCACTTCTATTGGTAGTTCCTTAATTTTTAAAAATCTAACTCCCCTGGGGCTTATGTAAATTTGGCCCCGTCCAAAAACAATGAAATCCATTATATTGAGGGTTCAGCTAGCTAGTTGTGTATTTCCTCCAATGCATAAAAAGAGAAATAAGTCAACGTTACAACACAAACTGAGCACTACTGGGTACCTCCTATAGCCATGCCGCTGAATGCCGCTGACCACGCTTGGTGGAGAGAAAACTGAGGAAAGAGATCTTTACTTTGGGGCTAGGGGTAGGGGTGCTCAGAGAAGGTCCTCCATAAATGCTTGCTGGCTGACCGCATGGCACCATCACCATAGCCTTCCTATCAGTGGTGCACAAACTTTGACTCTTGGACAGCTTAAGATTCCTGGGCTGCATCTGTCGATTCTGCACCAGCAGGTCTGAGGCAGGGCCTGAGAGCCTGCATTTCTAACAAGCTGGCCCAGGTTATGTTAATACTGCTGGTCTGAGGACCATAATTTAAGTAGGTCTTGGGCTACTGGGCATCAAAACCACTTGTAGGTACTTCTTAAGATGCAGATTCCTGGGCACCACAGATATTGTGATTCCTCAGGCCTGGATGGCCACCAGAATCTGCCATGTCAACCAGCACACCAAGGAACCTTCGGAGAATACCATTAGCATCTGGTGCGGTAGAAAAGAGAGGGACCCGGACAACTCCTCCTCCTTGTTGGTTGGGCCATGAGCCTCAAAGCATCCTGGACTTTCCTCTTCCCTCCTGCCTCAGTTCAGTGTGTCAGCAAACTCTGCTGGTGCTTTCTTCAAAACATATTCAGATTTTCTTAAGTCTCCAGCACATGGACTTAGGGGTAGGATGGAAGTGAAACAAGACTGAGGAAATGCTGAGGACTGTGGAAACTGGGAGTTTATTTTATTTTTTGTGGGGGGTAGTTTATTATGTATATTTGACTTTTTTTCCAAAAAGAAGCTTTATTTTTAAGTCTTTGATCTAACAAATCCACTTCTGGGAATTCATCTTACTAAGAAATTAAGATGCAGAAAAAAACTTACAAATAAAAACATTTCCCAAATAATAACACTGAAAAATTGGGAACACACTAAGTTCTCATGATAGGACAATAAGCTATGTGACACCCCTCAATGGAATTTTATGTCATTAAAAACATTTATTCAGGCCATGTGCCAACATGGAAAATACATACTATTAAGCGAAAAATCGGACATTAAATTGTATATATTGCATGATTAAGACTATGCAAAGACTTTAATCTTTAAAAAAGACTGAAATTTAAAAGTAATTGCATGTATCCAGTCTGAGGCTTCCCACCACCTTCAATGCAATGACCTTTGTCTGAGCCCTATTGTCTTTCTCACCTGCACCCTTGTGACAGCCTGTGGTCTCCCTGCTTCTACCCTCTGCCCTCCCATCTCCTCTCCACGTGGCAGCCAGAGAGGTCCTTCAAAAATGTTAACTCAGACCCTGACCCTCCTCTGTTCAGACCCTACAAGGCTTCCCACCTCTCTCCAAAACAGGCAAGTCTTGACCTGATACTGCCCTCCAGGCTGAATGACGAGTCCCCTCACCTGCTCTCATCTGCTCTGTTTCTGCCTTGCTTCTGCCACTCCAGCCACGCTGGCCTCTGCAATTCTTCATTCACTCCAGCTTCAGGGCCTTTGCACTTGCCCCTGTTTCCTCCGTGGGAAAATGCTGTCTCCAGATGTCTCTGAATGAGCGTGCCCTTCCTTCCTCCACAGCAGTCTGACCTGAGCTCCTCATCTAAACCCGCACTGCTCCCCCTCTGCACCCCGCCGCCGTGTCCTTTATTCTTCTTTCTAGCACTTATTTAATACCACCCACAGTGCATTTGTTTATTATGTCTTCTACTTACTAGGATGCAAATTCCTTGAGAACAAAGACTTTACGTCTGATTTTCTGCTGAATCCCCAGTAACTAGCACAGAGCCTGGCACACTGTAGGGTCAACAAACACCTGTTGAATGAAAGAATGCTGAACTAAGTAACCACCCAAGGGAACTGGAAGCTTCATGTGAGCTTTCTGTTTCTTGGGTAAACTCCCCCTCCCCGAAACCACTGGGCAGCGGCAGACCCACGGCAGGAGCCCTGCGAAAAGTAAGGTGACTGACCATTTCTCCATCCGAGGCCTCCTGGGCACACAGCACATCTTGTGAACTGGAGGCAGCAGAGTGTGCTGGCTACCAGCACTGGCTTTCGGAGGTCAAATCCCGGCTCACCACCACCATCGGTGCGGTCTCAGGAAGGCTATGAGAATTTTCTGAGAGTTAACTCTGCCTTGCGCAAAAAGAAGACAGTAACAGTTCCTGCTTCCCAGGGCTGGGGTGGGGGCTAAGCCTGAGAATGCCCACAAAGCCCTTAGCAGGCACAGTGCCTGGCACAGAGGAGGTGTGTGACAAGTGACAGTCCAACTAATCAACTGCTGCATATGTGCTTTTGTCTCTTTCAAGTTTACATTGTGCTCTTATACATGCTTTATCTGATTGGGGCCATTCAACAACCCCTCGGTTTTATCACCATTTTACTGGTGAGGAAACTGTGACAAAGAGGAATAAAGTGCTCGCCTACAGAACACACGGAATCTGACTACAACCCCAGCGCCCTCGCCTCCAGAAGCACAGGCTAGTATGACAGCCGATGAGCTGCATCTGGACAACTCATCAGAGCCCGACTCTACCGCATGTGCTCAGGGTGAGGCAGAAAGTCAATTCAGCAAATGACATCAGCCAGACAGCCACACTTCCCCAGCTGCTCGACTGAGGCAGGGGCTCCTGCGTCTCTGGATGAGGCTGGTGAACAGTTCTGAACAGGTAATGCCACCTTTGGTGTTCAGGTCTTTTTTGCCCTGCAGCCTCTGACCCAGTCTGCCCTGACAAAAAAAAACATTTCTTCCCAAAGGTAACCCAAGGGAGACATTGTTGCCTGGAGCTCTGGGCGTGGCTCTCATCAGTCTCCTCCATCTTCCTAGGATCGAAGGCCAAGGGAGGTCAAATGCCAGGAAGAGATCAGCAGGTGTTAGACATGAATTTGAGAGCCATAAGGCCAAAGAAAAAGAAAAAGAAAAAAAACAAAAACAACAAAAAAAACAAACAAAAAAATCACAGGCTCTCAGGAGTCATGGATTTTTAGAACTATAGCATCTGAGAGACAAAGAAACTTAACGACTGTAACATCTTAAGTCTCATGGGGTTGGCTGAGATTACACTAGATGAGATGGGCAAAAAAAACCCCTGGAGACCCAGTGGCTCCTGGGTACTGGGCATCTTCCATCTGGTTAGAGGCTTAGCGAACACTCCCTTGTGAGAATATGGTCTGAGGGCTCCAGCTGCAGGAGGAAGGCTGGGAGGACAGGCCTTGGATACCAACTTAATGGCAAAGTTCTATGGCCAGGCCCCTTGGGACATGAGATCAGAAGAGGAGACAGCAGCCTTCAGAAGGATCTCACCAGGGCAGCAAGCTCTGGCCCTGGTGATGTGTTATGAGACCCTGATGGTGCCAGGTTTGTGGCAGGCTACCAACTACCAAGAGACTCTGAGAGCAGTACTGTGACCGTCTGGCTTGATGGCATGTGCTCCTTGCTAGCAACGTGCTGTGTGAGCAGCACTTAGCCATCTGAGGAGGACTGACAGCACAGTGATCCATAACTTCTACCCACATAGTGTCCACTGTAGTAGAGCAGAGGGTTTGTGCCCCAAACCCCGGAAATGGCCTAGGAAGGAGGAGTTGACAATGGCTCTGGCCAGGCAGTGGGGATAAGCCTGTGAGCCACTTTGGAGGTCACCTGGAAAAGTGGTCAATACATCCATCCCACCCCTGGCCTTATCCATATTCTGTTAAGGTCACTTTAGGTACCTACGTTAATAAACTTCATGAAGTTTTTAAAATAAGGGAGAGTTCTAGGGTAGTCATGATCTTGCAGCAAAACTATAAAAATCTCTTTCTCTATATATATAAAAAAATCTCTCTGAAGAGAGTTCAGCATCCCAGGCTGGTCAGAGCAGGAGCAGACCAAAAGACAGAGCTTGAACTGCTTTGCTGGGTGAGAAATTCCCAGGAGAAGCAGCAGGAAGCACGTGAGGAAAGGAGATGGTCCAGCTACTAGAAGCTTGGAAGTCCTGCGCCTTGGGAGATGGACTGTCTTCCTCCTCCAGGAAGTTCATGGTGCTTTTCTCTGTTCTCTGATCCTTGGGGATCAATCCTGGGATCACCTCTGGCTGCCAGGCTAGGCTGGATGGAACAGCTCAGAGAGGTGATGTGCTCTGGCCTGGATCAGAACTCATCCCGCAGCTGAGGGGGCTTGTCCATGCCAAAGAAAGAGGACAGCTTCCCCTGGAGGTCCCGTTCCCGTTTCACGAAGGCAGTGAAGGAGGAGACACAGTTGCCAATAAAGTGGTCAGCTTGGCCAAGGATGTACAGGTCTATCTGGGCCACCTCAGGCTTCAGACTCACCACCTTTACCTGCAGGAGGAAGGGCAGGACGTTTTAGTCAGGGTGCAGGTCAAAGTGGCCAGCTCAGCCAAGGCCTGCAGCCACCCCCTACCTTCTTCCCCTGTGCTGAAGTCACAGACATAAAATAAATAGTATAGAGGATTAAGAGGGAGGGTTGGGGCATTTGAGAGAAGTGCTGAAAGCAGCTGCCTCAGCCTCTCAGCTCCAAACACAGCACTCATTCCCACTCTGCATTTGCTTGTTGGTTCCCTCTGCTGGGAACGCCTTTTCCCATCCATTACAGTCCTGACCATACTCTCAAGGCTCAGCTCAAGGTCAAACTTTTTCATGAAGCCCTGGTCTGAGGGGCTTGGCTTCTCCCCTCAAACCATGATCTGACCAAAGAGCACCCCACCCACCCAGTTCTGCTGCCTGGATGTCTTAGAGACTAAAGTCCCGTCCAATCTACCCCAAGATATTCCCCAAAGGTGAACCCTTCTCTTGACAGATGACAACTCCCTAGCCAACCACCATAATCTCTTACTTCTTCACTGGCCCCCTCGCTGCCTCTCCTCCTGGTCTGTTCACCACAGAGCAGCCAAAGGAAACTTTTTTAGATTCCTCCAGCCCCCTAGCCCTCTCTCCACCCCAAGCTGAACATCCTTAACTGGTGCTCTTCAGATAAAAAATGACAAAAGTGGCCCACAAGGCCTGTTCAGCTGCCTCTCCAACTCCTCTCATACCTGCCCCCTCCCCCCATCATACCTTGAGCTCCAGACACTACACACCAGGCTCCCTCCCTCCTCAGGACCTTTGCACACACTCTTCCCTATCTTTGGGGTGCTTGTCTCTTTGCCAAGTTAACTTCTACTTAATCTTTACTCTGCAGCTCAACTCTCGCCTCCTTGGGGAAGCCCTCCCCGCCCCCCAGTCTAGTCCAGGCTCCTCCACTCTATGTTCTCATAGAACCACATTCCTTCACCTTGCAGGACACAACTCAGTTTGTAGCTTTCACTCCTTAATGATTCTCTGATCAATGTCTGTCTCCTGTACCTGACTAGGGCTGGGGCTGTCAGTTTGCTTCTCACTGCTGGCTGGGATCTGCCTTAATATACACCTGTTGACTGGACAAGTGAGTGAACGAGCATGCCAGCCCCACGCCTGGCCCTCTCTTGTGGTATATCTTACAGCTATCTGCAAGTCTCTTTTCCTGAGTGTAGACTGTGAGCCCTGGAGGGCAGCACCACACCTTATTTATCAGTATCCTGGCATCAGTACTAGGCTAGCTACATGGAGGAGGAAGGCTCACTTAGTTCAGGAGGAAAGGTGGGTTGAGGAGTTGAGAAGGGCAGGAACAGGAAACAGAAAACAGCAAGAGGCTCGAAGTGTAACAAATATATCAACTCTAAAAACTCACACACACACAAAAAAAACTCCCTGGGACTCTCCAAATGCTTCAACTTGGTACAGAGGCAGGGGGTGTGGGCAGAGCTGGGGCTGAAAGTGCTTTGCTGTCACACAGAGATTTCTGATGTAACAAAAATCATCATCTTGCTATTTGGATGGTAGCAGAGAAATAATACCAGTTTAATCATGGCCAAAATCCCCTGAACAATTCCACCCACACCCTGAAACTTAACCATTCTGTGTCATGCCCACTAAAATTAGCTCTGAGATCTCTTGGGTAAATTCTCTTTCTTCCTGGGACTTTGGTTTCCTTAGCTATAAACACAGGGGTTGGGTTAGGGGTGCTCCAAGGTCTCTCAGCTCTGATACTCTTCTATAAAGTGGGGGTGGGAGGACCAGAAGATACTGACTCCGCACTTCCTCTTCAAGCCGGGGCTTTCGGCCTGTGTCTGGGGTAAGAGAGAGGCAGAGCCCCCCGACATAAAGCCAAGGGCACTCACAGCTAGAAAGCAGGTGTCTGCTTTTTAAGGTCTGCACAAGCAATCAGGGCTTTCACTCATTCAAAAAAGTCTTACTGAACGCTTACTATTATTTCGGTCATTTTATTGATACATACTTACTTATTACCTACTCTTCACTCGTACAGTACCAAGCACATTTTACTATTTACTCACATACTGAACACCTACTATTCACCACTTCCTTGAGCACTGACTAAGCACAGATCTTTCCCTTTATTCATCAACCACCTACTTCTACGACCAATGACAGATAACTTTACTGAGCTCTTATTCTGTACCAGATCTGTTTTAATTTCTTTATAACTGCTCTTCACAATCATCCTATGAGATAGGTACTACTCTCAGTTCTATTTTGTTGATGAAGAAATAGCACAGAGAAGCAAAGTAACTTGTGCAAGGGTGCACAGTGAGTAGAGTCCAAACCTTGGGTTCCAGAGATCATGCCCTTAATTCCTCTGCTGCACAAGATCCCTACCAAGAGCCCATCCTTATTCACCAAACATTCACCGAGTGTCTACCACGTGTTAGGTGCTGTCCCAGACACCAGTGATGGCAAGGTGGGGCAGAGGAGGTCAAAGCATCAGGCTAGATGCTGAGGAACAGAACAGTGACTCTGCCTTAGATCCTGCCTTCAAGGAGTCACAACTCTGGGAAGAAATAAGACATGTTGCTACACTAGTCTCACAGCCTGGAAAGCGTCTCAAGAGGTGACATGATAAAATGCTGTGCAGCACCCAGTAGGGATCCAGGAGTGGATGGAAATCTGTGGAGCACCTGTGGAGGTGTCTGAGTTGGGGTTTGTAGAACTGGTTTGGAACTGGATGTTCGAGTCAAAGCCTGCTGGTGGGAGGACACGAATGAAGCTCAAGGAGGAAGCGGGCTGACTACTCTGGCGCTTTCTTTGATTCCCTTCCTTTCCCGCTGCTCTCCCACCGGCCAGCGCATACCTTCCCTTTGAAGAGCTGTTGGATCTCAGGCACGTAACTCTCAGAATCTGTGGCGATGTAGACCGACCGGGCATCCAGCGCGGTCACCCAGAGCTTCAGGGCCCGCATGATTTCCTTCAGGTCGGGGAGGCACATGGTCATGGTGAGTGGGGCGGCGGTGTGGCGGCTGTAGCCCACACACTGCGGCGAGGCCATGAAGTGGGCACCGGCCGTCCCATCCTTCAGCATGGCGCATGCGTTCTTCTGTGGGGCAGGCGGGGGACAGCGTTAGAGCCCGCAGCGGCCTGCAACCCCACGAGCAAGGGCTGGTAAGTGGACAGTGGCAGGCAATACAGGAGGAGCACAACTATCTTCTTTTTTAAAGCATTGAAGGAAGAGGGAGACCTATCAAAACAACTAACAGTGGTTATTTCTGGGTAGTGGGATATTGGAATTCTACAAATTTTTTTTCTTGGTCTTACTGCATTATCTGGGACTTCCAGTAGAATTCTGAACTGTGGTGGTGATAATGGGCAGCCTTATCTGATTTCTGACTTCAGTGGGAACACCTCTGATAGCTCCCGAGAAGTACATGTTTGCCGTGGGTTTGAGACAGATAGCCGTTATCAAGCTAGGGTGGGTCCCTTGTATTCCTGGTTGGTTAAGGGTTGTTTTTCTCTTTTTTAAATCATAAATGAGTGTTGACTTTTTATCAAATACTTTCTTGGCCTCCGTTGAGATGATTATATGATTTTTCTTCTTTGGGTGTTAATATATGAATTTCATTGCATTCCTGGGATAAATTTTAATTGTTTGTGTTGTATGTTAATATGCTACTTAATTTTACTTGGTAATATTTTACTTTGGATTTGGGCATCTATGTTCATTAGTAAGAGTGGGCAGTATCCCAACTTATCTGAGTTGACCTTACCTGAGTTTATTAGCATCATGCTAGCTTTATTAAAAAAAAAAACTTACATCTTTTTATGTTCTAGAAAACTATAGATGTTAACTATCTGTTCCTTGAAGATTTGACTGAAACCACTCATAAAATACTCTGGGCCAGGATCCCTTTTTTCATGGAAAGGGGACAGAAAGGGAGTCTAGTGGTAAATATGTGATTACTTCCTCAACTGACTCTGAATGAATTTTGACCTAATTTCTATATTTTTCAAGTCTTCAACAATGAGCATTTCTAAGACATATACATACATACATCTTCCTATGTAAATTAATAAGATTGTCTACATTACTCCTATTATTTTTCACATGGAGGATAATCTGATGAGGTCTCTGCACATTTAAGCAGCTGCCAAATTTGGAGGATGACATCTTCCTTTCTTGGGTGCCCCACCCATCCTCCAGAGCTTGTTTTTTAATAAGGAGTCCTGGCCAAACACTGGGCTGTGGGTCTCTCTCTCTGGCTTGCTGCCTGACCCAGAGTCTAGCTTGATACCTCGATTTATCCATCTGTAAAATGAGGATAAAAATGGCAACTGTTAAAATGAGAGCTGGCAAACAAGCACTCTGGAGCCATATTTCTGACATGTATCTGTGGTGGGATCGTGGGGCAGAGTCCCATGAACTTGGCCGAGTGAGATCTCTGGCTAGCCACTTGGTGCAGTGGGTTCAGTGTTCAACCCCCAGGCCTGGGCCCTGCTCAGGAATGTGTCCAACCCAGCCATGAGAGGAAAAGGGAAGTTACCCAGTCGGAGCCAATGCGCAGGTGAATGCCCACATAGGGCCTGATGAGGTGGGCATGGATCTGGGCCTCCCCTGTCCTCACCATCTCGTCTGACCAAACCATGTACTTCTGGAGCGGCCTATGCTCCTCCAGGACGGGGAACTGGGCTGGGGCCCCTGGCAGGGCAAGCACTGGATGTTCCTTTGGAGAAAATCTAGGCATGAGACAGAACGAGAAGTCAGACAGACAGCCTGGCCACCACCCCCACGGGAAAAAAGGATGGCGTAACACCACACCCGAGACCCTGTGGAGGGGCCCCTGTAACATGCAAGAAGCACTAGAGGTTGTGAAACCCCAACGAGCTGATAAGAAACCCCAGTGGCGGCAGCAGGCACGATGTGCAATAATGTCCCGCCACACGGAATTTACAACCCTCTTTGCTTGTTTAACAATTAAAAATTTACAGTAGAGCATTCCAACCTTTTGTATGTCATGCTGGCTTCCAATCTGTGGTGCGATAATTCACTCCAGGGTGGGGTGTCTAGACTGAGTCTTTGCCCTTTTACCTACGCGGTGGGATTGGGAAGTGCAGCTGCTTACAGCCGGCAACGGACAGGTCACATTCACAGGGAGTGTGTACACTCGGTGAGATCATTCACTCAACATTTAACACGTATCTACCGATTGCCTACTATGTTCTGGGGCCCAGGGGAGAACGAGACAGGCACTGTCCCTGCTCTCGTAGAGGAAAAGCAACAGACGTCTGTAGATGCCCCTGTCATACCCTGCTGAAGGCTCTCCCTTACCGTGTACACTATGCACCGTGTAACTATTTCACCTCTGTCTTTTCTGCTTGACTCAGGTTCCTAAAGACAGTATCTCTATGTGCCTAGAACAGTGTCTGGCACATGCACAAGCTCAGCAAAGATTTGTTGAGTGAGAAGCAAACCTGTGTTCTTTCGTTAGCGAAGCCAGCTAATAATATATGCCAGCAACATGAAACTCCCCACCATTTCATAAACTCTTAAGGCACTTTCAAACTCCAAATCTCTGCAGTCTTGTCCCCTCTACCTGGTATGGCTTCCCTCTGCCAGCCAGAATCCTTTTCTAAAATTATGAAATAGGCACAGCCACTCTGGAAAACAGTCTGGCAGTTTCTTGCAAAACTAGACATGCAATTAACATGTGACCCAGCAACTGTCCTTATGGGCATTTATCCCAGAGAAATGGAAACCCACATTCACACATTACCAGTTCACAAATGTTCACAGCAGCTTTATTCGTAACAGTCAGAAACTGGGAATAACTCAGATGTTGTTCAACAAGTGACTGGTTAAACAAACTATAGTACACCCAAACCATGGAACATTATTGCAATAAAAAGGAACCAGCTATTGATACAGGGAACAACTCGGATGAATCTCAAGGGAATTACGCCGAGGGAAAAAAGCCAATCTCAAAAGGTCATGTACCGTATGATTCCATTTATTTATTCAGGAAATGACAAAGTAGAGAAAACAGAGATGGAGATGGGATTAGTGGTTGCCAGGGGCTAGGGGATGTGTGTGTATGTTGTGTGTGTTTAGGGACATGGGTGTGGTTATAAACTGGCCACAAAAGGATCCTTGTGATGTTAGAACTGTTTGATATCTTGACTGTGGTGGTAGATACAGGAACATACCCACATGATAAAACTGAATAGAACTAAATACACACACACATAGAAGTGAGTACAAGTAAAACTGGGGAAGTCTGAATGAGATGGATGGATTGTACAAATGTCAACATCCTGGTTGTGATACTGTGCTATAGTTCTAAAAAATGTTACCATTGGGGGAAACTGGGTAAAGGGTACATGGGATCTCTCTGTATTATTTCTTATAAGTGCATGTGAATCTACAATTACCTCAATCAAAATGTCAATGAAAAATTATCAGATATTTCAAAGCATACAGGAAAATACAGAAAACAATTTAGCAATCCACGTACCTGTGACCCAAATTAGCAAATATTAACATTTTGCTTTGTTTCAGATTAAAAAGAAATACATACCTAAATAAAAGCTCTATCCTATGATCTCTTTCCCTTTTCTTCCTCTCTCCAGAATATACTGTGGTTTTAGGTATGATTACACTTTTACTATTTATATAAAAAGGTATTACTCTGTGTGCTCTTTACACAGTCAAATGGTAAAAGCTCGGACTGTGGAGCCAGATGACCTTGTTCTAATGTTGACTATGCCCCTTACTAACTTTGGCAGGTGACTTAACCATTCTGTGCCTCAGTTTCCTTATCTGTAAAATAGAGCTGATAATGGTCCTCATAGGGCTGTTTAAAAGATCAAATGGATTAATACAAGCAAAGCATTTAGAACAGTGCTTGGCACACAGGAAGCTCTCAGAAAACTCTGACTCTCACTATCACCATCATCCTGATCATCACCATCATACTGCATGGAGTCTATTTCAATTTTTTAGAAATTCAACTTTATGTTTTAGAGATTTGGCCAGGTTGATGGTGTGGATCATGTGATTGTGTTAGCATCTCTTGAAGTTTTCCATTTGTACAAATAAACTGTAGTTTACCTATTGAGTCCCCTCCTGCTGGTCAGTGAGGCTGCTTCAATCTTTCAACCAAACGACAGTGCTGCAATGTACATCCGCTCTTTCTTTGCATTCACCAAACACCTCACTCTGCAGACAACTCCTCCCAAACCTCCAAGACCAGTCGCCACTCCCAAGCCTCAGCTCCCAGGCAGGGCTCACTGTCCCATTTCTCCTCCGCTGCCTGCTGCACACAGACGTGCTCAATAATGATCTGCCCTGTCCACTGTCCGCTCAGCAGGCCCTGAGCAGTCCTACTCAGATTCCCACACACACTGGTCCAAGGCCTGTGCCGAGGAAGCAACACACATGGGTTTGCTGACAGCCTGGCTCTATGTAACACTCGTCTTGTCAGACTTTAATTTTATATGTATATAAAATGTGAACCATGTACTGAGCCTTATTATGTGACAGGTAATGTTTCAATTACTTTGTGTATATTAACTCATTTGATTCTCTTCAGAGCCCTGTGAGGTAAGTACTTTTGCTATTCTCACTTTACAAATGAGGAAACTGAGACACAGAAAAGTTAAGTAGCATGCCTGTGGTCACACAGCAAGGAACTGGTAGAGGTGGGATTTGAATGCAGGAAGTCTACTCCAGAATCTACGTTCTTAACTATTACATCTCACTCCCAGCTCCCCCACCCAATCAACAAACACCTCAAAAGCTGAGTCTGTGGTTATTCTTCAGATTCCCAGCCCCCATCACAGGCCTCAACATGCAGTACGTACAATAAATATGTTTAGAATGAACGAATGAGGAATTCAAGGATCTCACCAGATCTGGTTGTCAGAGGTTAGAGGAAGAAAAAGTGAATAGTAATTGAGCACCTTCTATGGGCCAGACCCTGAGCTAAGCGTCTTTCAGAGGCCACCTTAAAAGATTTCAAACGGAAAGCAAGTTTGTGATCTCCCAGGGGACTGGAACATTAGGATAAAATCATTTTATGTGCCCTCCTTGACCTCCTGGAAAGAACTTGCCACTGACCCTTGGTGAATTCCATCCCCTCTACCTGGATCTGGACCAGCACATAGATAGCTGTCCCAGTGCGACATTAGCTCTGACCTGACAAGCAGCAAGAGGTCAGGATGGATGTGCTCATTTGCTCCCAATGAGGGAGGGGAGTGTTGTTTGGAGAGAAAGTGGGGAATACGGGTTTTGTTTGGAAAGAAAGCTTGACCAGCTCCATCTGTTCACATCCCTGACTGTTCACCCTAGGCCAGGCCCTTAGCCTGGTCACTGTTCAACTGAAGGCATGCTCTCCTGCTATTGCATGCAGTGAACCTCTGGGGTTCTTCACCACTGCACCTACTCTACTGAGCCCCACTACCAAGCTGGGGTTTTTATATGCACAGCATCTACCTGTGTGCCCAGTATATATCAGTGGATAGACACTATGCTGAGTGCAGAGGATGCAGCAACACAAACATGGCAGAATCTTGCTTTCAACGTCCCTGCCATGAAGAACTTCCTTCCCCTCTAGCTCTTTGCATGGCTGGCTCCTTCTCATCCTTCAGGTCTCAGCCCTGCCAATTACATGTCACCCGTTCATGTCCTCTTGGGGAGGCTGCAGCCTGGGAAGACAATAAGCCATGTGCTCAAATACCTATTACCTTCATGTCAAGAGAATGGTTCAGCACGATGGTCCACAGTCTTTCAACAGTAAATGTGTAATAAAGGTCTGCTGACTTAAACCTCAATCAGGGCAGAGCTAGAAGGATCCTCAGAAATCACTTAGTAGGGAAGAAATACTTCTTATCCTCTTCTCCTAGAACTGAATTTTCAGCTGGATACACAGCAGCCCAAAATAAAGACATTTTGCAGTACTTCTCACAGCTAGGTATGGCCACATGCCTAACTAGCCAATGAGCTGTAAGCAAGCTATAAAGAAGGCTTCTTAAAAAGGTGAGGATATGTGTGCTTTTCTTCTGACCCTTTTATCCCTTCAGCTGCCTGGGGCAAGGATGTAATGGCTAAAGCTTCATCAGTCATCTTGGCCCATGAGGTGACACTGAGGATAAAAGCCAGTACTGGGATGGAGGAGCAGAGATGGGAGCCTGATTTCTAATGACACAATGGAACTGACATTCAGTTCTGGGTTGCATACCCCAGTCCTTTTTTACTTAAGAAAACAATAAACTTCTTTTTTATTAATTGCTCTTATTTGGGGTTTTCTGTTACATGTAGCCTAAACTAAACTTGATACACCTAGACCTGTGGCCATGAAAATTTTTAACTGATATACAAGAGGGTTACCGGTTGAAGGCAGTGGGGAGGGATGAATCCCTCCACCTTGGCCCCCAATGCCACCCCCATGGCACTATAAGAGCTTCTCCAGAATCTAAAACTCGGTGTGGGGGTGGTTATAGCTCAGTGGTAGAATGCATGCTTAGCATGCAGAAGGTCCCAGGTTCAATCCCAATTAAAAAAAAAAAGAACTCTAAAACTCAAAGAACAGTTTGAGAACAACCGATCTTGCTCAGCCCTTGCATTTTATAGATGGAATACTGTGGCGAGAAAAGGGAAGCAATCTGCAGAGTCACACAGGGAGCCAGGGAAGAGCTTAACCCCTTCTAATGCCATTCTCCCTACACTCATGCCCCTGCTCCCAAAAGACAATTTCCTACAGCAAGCAAGTATCCACTATTTTAGAAAATGTCTAAAATATATACACTTTCAAACCCACCTCTGCAAAGCATTCAGTCCTCTTATCAGATCACTTCACCAGGGCCCACAAAGCTGTGCATGGTCTGACCCCTGCCCACTTCTCCAATCTCCTGTCCCATGTAGCAGATTAATTCGAGTCTCTTTCCACTGAGTGGGCTGTATGTTCCCTCCCAATAGCATTTTGCAGAAGTGATATTGTCCCAGTTGCCAGGCCCAGGCTTTAGGGAGCCGGCAGCTTCCACCTTCTGTCTCTTGGAACACTCACTCCCTGGCTACATCCTCTCAGAACCTGGCTGCCATGCTGGCAGAAGTCCAAGCCACATAGAGAGGTCAAGAGTACACTTGCCAGCCAGCTACCCAAGCTGAGCTTCCGGATGACAGCCAGCACCACCTGCCAGCCATGAGGGGGCCCTCTTGGACATGCAGCCCAGTCGAGCCTTCAGATGACTCTAGTCCCAACCGACTGCTGACTGCCGCCACGTGAAACCTCAAGCGAGAAGTGCCCAGCTAACCCAAGTATCCATCCACAGATGAAGGGATAAACAAAATATGGTCTGTACATACAATGGACTATTTACCAGCCTTAAAAGGTCTAAAATTTTGATGCATGCTACAACACTGAAGATATTATGCTAAGTGAAATAAGCCAGACACAAAAAGACAAATATTATATGATTACCCCTATACAAAGAACCTAGAATAAGCAAATTCAGAGACAGAAAAGTAGAATAGAGGCTGGGGAAGGGGAATTGTGAGTCATTGTTTAATGAGTGGCACAGAGTTTCTCTTTGGGATGATGAAAAAGTTCTAGAGAGGGACAGTGGTGATGGTTATGCAACATTGTAAATATACTGACTGCCACTGAACTGTACACTTAAAAAGTGGTTAAAATAAATAAATAATACACACACACTCCATTGGCATGAATACACACATACCAGTAATCATTTTTTTAATCTCATATTTTTACATGTTTAGAACTGATCCTGCCAGCAATATCTACTAACCTAATAAATATTAATTACTCTTCAGAAGATAGTTAATTACTCAATTACAAACTATATATAACAATTTCACTTTAAGTTAATGTACAAGTATGTATGTATATGTATAAAAATATATACACATTTTAGAGGGTGGGAGTATACACATCAAAGCTTTAACAGTTTTTTGGCAGGTTGGTGAGATTATAAGTAAATTTTTTTTGCTTCTTTATTAAAAAAAACAACACCAAATGGGGTAGGATCCTAAAGAGTATTCATTCTAAGAAATCAGATGTTTAACATGGATCAAAGAAAAAAGAAAATGGAAAAACAAAAAAAAGAAAGACCTGCCCTGCTAAGCCCAGTCAACCTACAGAATGCTGAGAGATAATACTAAATTATTGTTGAACCACTGAGTCTTAGAAGTCCTAACTAGAGCCTGATGATGCTGGCACCATGATCTTGGATGTTCCAGCCTCCAGAACTGTGAGAAGCAGATGTCTGCTATACCCCCAGTCTGTGTTATTTTGTTACAGCAGCCTGAGCCGACAAAGACCAGGTCTCTGTCCACCACTCACACATCATTAGTTTATGTCCTTCACAGCACTATGTCTCCTGGAACTATCATATGTAAAAGTTTATTCATCATTTCCCCTGTTAGACTCAGCTCCATCAGGGCAGGGGCCTTATCTGCTTTATTCTTGCCTGTATCTCCAGCATCCACACCAGTCCTAAACACTCAGGAGGTGCTTCTTAAATACGTATGGAAGGAAGGAAGGAACAAGTGAAAGGATGCAGCTGCCCAGGTGGCCCTAATTCTCTCAAACTACCTCCAGGGACCTCATCTTTCCTACTAGTCTTCCTTTCCCAAAAGTGCAGCTGCAAGGCACAAACTTTCTCAAGCCCTCACACAATTCGAATGGAAATTGACCATAATACCTCGTGAAATTTCTCAAAAGCTTAAATAAAGCATGTGAATAATAGTAACAGGTACCACTGGTTTGCCTCCAACTATGTGCCATCTGTTTTATACACTAGAAGGCAGATACCACAGTGCTCCTTCCATCAAACCAAGGAGGAAACTCAGGCCAGACAGCTGAAGTGGCTCACTCAGGGCCATCTGAGGCAGAGGCAGGGCTGGGTGCAAGCTCAGGGCTGTCTCATCCTGAGCCTATGCTCGTTCCTCTGCATCAGTCTATCTTTGGCTTACTAAACGCCAAGTTCATAAGCTCCCAACCCAAGTCTGACTTCTAAGCCCATGCTCTTTCTTGCCACAATAGCATAAAGAGCACGTGTACTATGTTAGTGTCATCATCATAACTAGACTGTAGCTAGCTGAAGGCTGAGACTAGGCCTTCCTCACTTCTATATATTACCTCTGGCCTTTGAGCACTATGTCTCATACGTGACAGACACTATAAATATTTCACAGCCTGTGCCTATGCCCTGCTAACCTACTTTTTTTTTTTAATAAAATAGGGCTTACTGGAGCGCCATTAATAAAGCACATCCAATTATTATCAGGATGACATCATTCCTCAGCCTGCACCTGAAGCTGTTCTTCTCTAGAAGCTGCTTCCAATTTTCACCTTGTGAAGGGGAAGGTAACAGGGGAGTGATTCTCACGCCTAGAGGAGGAAATAGACTTCTGTGACTGCACAATATTCTTTTTATGACATCCTTTATCGGCTGATAAACTCTTGCTCAACCTCGTGGCAGGTCAACGTCCCACCATGTCAGGCGTTGAGATGGGAACAGATCACACACGATCCCAAGTTCAAAAGACAGAACAGCCACACCTCTGGTCTCACACATCAGGGTGTGGTAGAGGGGGAGAGGGCCAGGGAGTTGCTGAATGCCCATGGGCCCCACAACCCTCACTTAAACCCAACAACGCTGCCCCCTCCAAGTACCTCTGGATCCACTGGTCTTTGTAGGAGGCGCTGAAGGAAATGCCTGCAAAAAGCTCAGACTTGTTGAAACTCACATGAAACTGATCCCAAAACGGGCCAAAGGGGTTTCCTTCCTGTAGAAAGAGAGAGGTCAAAGGCTTATTGAGGGGGAGGGAAAGCCAGTGGGGGATGGGGTCAAGGAACTGTGTTGGGGGAACCCTGCAAGATTTGATTCAGGCTAAAATACTCTCATACGGTGGCCCAGTAGGAATGTCACTTCATGTAATTCTTGGGCTGGGGGTTAAGGAAGGCTGCTCAGCTTCCAGTCTGGTTTCCAGCAGGAAGTGTTCATCAGTGTCTAAAGGAATCTTTCCTGCTCACATGCTATATCACACTGACTCTGCAGCACTGGTGGAGGTCTGAGGAGGATTTGGGTCCATGCACTAAGTGAGAGCTTCAAGAGACTTTCAAGACCAGCTAATCTAATGCCTTTATTTTCAAGATGGAAATCAGGGCCCAAAGAAGGTAAGACATTTGCCCAAGCTCACACAGCAAGCGAGGGCAATGTTGGGGCTGTAAGCGAGATCTTTCTCAAATTTCATGGCCACTCCAACCACTCTCCCAGACTTTCACACAAGCACTGATATATTAGGGATTATCTTAGTCCGAAAGTACCAGAAACTTACAAACTTCTACTGACTAAATATAATAGCTTCTCATTTACCTGCTGAGAAGCAAGAAAGTATACAAGTTAGGAGGGTGGACAATGGAGTCATATTACCACAACTTTTTTGCTATATGATTTGGGGGCAAAACATTGAACCTCTCTTTGTTGCACTCAGTGTCCTCTCTATAAAATGGGGATATTAATAGTACTTTCCTCACGGAGCAGTTTAAGGATTAAGTGGGTAAATATGTGGAAAGTTCTTAACATGGTACCTGGCACGTAGTAAGTGCTAAGTGAGTATTAGTTATTATTACTGATGTGGAACTTTATAGTTTACAAGCATTCTTACACCAGACCCTCATGATACTTTATGAGTGAGACAGAACAGGGACTGGGATCTTTATTTTGTAGGTAGAAATAAAGGCGCAGAGGAAGCAACATCCTCTGGCCAAAGTGACACCACTGACAAATGCCAGAAATGGGATTTAAGTCCCCATCTTTCTATTCTCAGGCCTTCTGGGGCCTTCCCCCATATCCTGACATGACACATTGTCTCAGGGGCCTAGAGGGCCTGGAATGGGCAGAAAGGGCCCCCCCGACCCACAAGACCCACCTTCATGGGGCATGTCTTCTTATCTAGGCTTCGCTGGGCTGCCACCTCAAAGCAGTATGCCACCCGCCTCTCAGGGGGCCAGTGGGTGGGTGCTAGCTTCTCCATGAAGTCCTCCAGGCTGATGACCCGATGGTAGGCCTGGAGGGGCTCCAGCTTGAAGTACTTCTGGTAGGACACATGGAGCTACAGGAAAAGAGGGGAAAAGGAGAGGTGGGGGTCCCTCCATAACATCTTAATGGCTGTTTCAAACACATTGATTAAAACCATACACTCTAAGACCCAGGCAGCTTGGACTACATGCCAATGAAAAACTTTTGGCAAAAGACACCAAGTCAGGACAGAAGCTGGGAGAAGACATCTGTAAACTAAAGAACATACAGAAATATCCCTCTTGTTAAAAAATGCCTGCTGATCTATAAGAAAAAAGACAAACGACGCAAGAGAAAATATGGGCAAAGGAGAGGAGTGAACAACTCACAGCAAAGAAAACCCAAAGAGCACTCAAAAGATGTGCAGGCTCACCGGTAATTAGGAAGAAGCACATTACAATGACAGGACACCACTTCTTATGCATAAGACCAGCAAGACTTTAAAAGCTTAACTCTAATTGTTGAAAAGGATGTGGGAAAATGGGCATTTTCCCAACATTAGTAGAAGTATATATCTTTGGAACAACTAATTTAGAATGTAATCTCTTACAGCATCTGGTAGAATTTTAAATGCTCCTTCGACCTCTAGGCATTTGCTCTTAAGAAGCCCTTGTGCTTCATACGAGGAGATGGATACAAGGATGCCCAGTGCCACAGTGGAAGCAGTACAGGAAAGAACTTGGAAGGAGTCACATCAAAGATACTAAATTCATCATGGTGGATTCCGTCTGCGGGTGGGCAGAGGGACTAGGATTAGCCTGGAACCAAGAGTGACTTTATCTTTTAACAACTATCTGTAACGTTCAACTTCTTTTATTAACAAAAAGAAAAGATGAAGCAAAGCTGAGAAAATGTTAAATGATTATCATTGCTAATGGTGGATACACGGATGGTAATTGTATTAATCTCTGTATTTTTCTAGACTTAAGAAAATTTCTTAGAACACCATGAAATAAAATTTAGACTTTATCTTATAGGTCAGAGTTCCCAAGCATGTTCCACTAGTTCAGGTGGGTAAAGGGTTCTGCAATAAAAAGGCTCCAGAAATAAACAGGTCTGGGAAATGCTATGCTAAGCAGCTTTTTTTTACTACAGGATTTCTCAGGACCTTTAATATGTTAATGGCATTTTGAATCTCCAAATTTGGAGGGATGAGGAATTGAGAATATAATTTCCCAAACTTAACCACTGCACCCCTCCTGCATAAGCCATTGGTGAGAACCTTAAACTATTAGCAACAAGGTCTTGCTGAAGGATTTTAAGCAGAAATAACATGAGACTTGCTTTTTCAAAAGATCGCTCTGGTGGCAGAAGAGAGAATATACTGATGGTAAGATAAGAAGAGGGAGAGGAATTAGGAGACTACTGCAATGGTCCTTTGATTCGTTCAAGTATTTGTTCAACATGTATTTTTAAGAATCTCCCATAAGTCTGAAAGATGAGGAAGCATGGACAGGTTAGAAAATGTAAAAGAAGGTGAAACAGAGAGTAAAGGGAGGCATTCTAGGTTCTGGCTTGGTATCCAGGTGAATGCAGGTGACATAAACCAAGGCTGGAAATATAGGAGGTAACATAGGTTTGAGGGGAAAGATTCCAACTTCAGTTCTGGCTTCATGAACTTGAGATATCTGTGGAACAACCAAGTAGACTTCAAGGGCCTAGGAATTAGAAACACTAGGCCTGTGGTCAGAGGAGAGCCCGAGCCACATGGGAATTTGGGCGGTATGTGGAGAATAATAAAAGCCACAAGACTCAACAAAGATTTATAGCAAAGCAAATAATGGTAGTAAAAGCAACTAATATTATTACCGAGTGCTGAGTTAGTGCCTGGTGCTATACTCATCGTGTTTCATGGACTTGACCATCTAATTGTAAGAGGCAGGAATACAACCATCTCCAGTTTACTTATGAAGAAATCTGGGTGGACAGAATCTAGATAACTCACCTGAGGTCACACAGCTAATAAGCAAACAGAAAGAGGAGACACACCAACGTTTAAACAGTGGGTGGAGAGAGAGGAGTCCCTGATACAGCACAGAGAGGAAAATGCTGAGAGGTCAGGCTGAAGCAGGGACAAGCTGTGTCTTGGAAGCCAGGGGAGGGGGGAAGTTCAGGAAGGAGATAGGCCCATGGGGTCAGATGCCACTGAGAGGTCAGCTGAGATAAAGACTGAGAAATGACCCCTGGATTTGGCAATTCTGAGATACCTGGTGACCTCTGTGAGAACAGTCCCCATGGGGAAGGGGAGCCCAATTGGAGTGGGTTGAGTAATCTGTAGAAAGCAAGAAGTGGAGACTCTGCACAGACTCCAAGTTGAGAAGGCAAGGCAACAGAAGGCAAGCCAGCCAGAGGGAGAGGAAGAGGCCATGTCTAAACTTCAACCGTGAGTGTAAAAATATCAGAACATCAACCTGGTTCCTGGTTACCGAGGACCTTCTATGTCCTAAGCATCATACACTCACTGGCTCAGCTGATCCTAAGAGGGAGGCATACAACGTTCAGGGCATGCCACAGTCACTAACTCACTAAGGGAGGTGGCAACAAGTATTGCCAGCCTATTTCAAAGACGAGGAAACTGAGGCACAAAGAGGTCAAGCAGCCTGCCCCGGCTATAGGGTTAGTAAGTAGCCAGGCCAGGCTATGGTCTCAGGTACTCTGGTTTTTAACTTCTGTTAAAAACCTCTCTAAATACAAGCATACATAGAAAAAAAAATAAAATCTATGCAGAGAAAAGGCTGTAAGAATGAAGTAGTGTTCTATACATACTAAATATAATTTTTTTTAAGTTTATTTAAAAAACTTTCAAAGTCAATTCATTAAATATTAATTCAGTTTCTACTACTAGGCCCCTGGAGTTACAGTGGGAACAGAGACTGGTACGGGACCCATGGAAGACACAAAGAATACACAAGAAACTAGAGGGTGCTGAGCATCACCACACTAAAGAGGCCCCTGATGAGGTGAGAGGCAGTGCTGGCGCCAGACTGCTTGGGTTTGTGCCTTAGACATGTTATTAACTAACTTATGCCTCCGTTTCTCCTTCAAAACTGCTAATAGCACCCATCACTTCTGACCAATGGATGGGACCAACCAGGCCTGGAAATGGAGCCTTGAGGTGAGGTTGAGGTCACAGGCTCTGGAGTCAGGCAGACATGGGCCTGAATTCCAGCCTACTACCCACAAGCTGTGTGAGCTTGGGTAAGTTACATAACCTCTCTAAACCCATTTCCTCACAGGGATACAATGAGAGGGAAAAGAGCTAATCCTCATGCAGTGCTCAGAAATAGGGCCTGGCCGACAGCAGATGCTGAGTAAACCTTAGCCAGTTAGCCAGGGAAGACAGTTCTGGGTGGGGGGCAAGGCAAACTCAGAAGCATGGGAGATAAAGCCTACAGAAGGACTTGGGGTCAAGCAGAGGTGAGCAGGACTGGGGAAAGGTGGACAGGGACCAAAAGCGGTGGTACTCACATTGGTGAAGGGAGGCTTGTGATGCTGGTACTCAATCCAAGGAGGTACAGCCAGGGTGCGGTTCAACAGCTTTGCAAATGCCAGGGAGCCCAAGAAATGATCAGCCTGGTTTCCAAAGCGCCCTGGATGGTATATTGCAGGTGAAGTGAGGCCTGGGGCATCGGAGGCTTGGGGCATGCAAGGCTCAGAAAAGATGTGGAGCCAGGGGTGGGGTGGGCCAGGACACCCAGGAGAGCCAGGGGAGCTGGCAGCATGGGATCAAGTCTGGACTCCTGGGTCTGAACATCAAGGCCCTTCAGGCCATGCCCCTTCTGCCTCAGCCACTTCAGGTTCCTTGCTGTTTCCTAAACATGCTCTATACTTCCCACCTCCACCCCATGCCTTTGTTCTTGCTGTTCCATTAGCCAAGAGTGCCCTTCAACCTCTATTTCCTCTCACCTGCACATGAAGGGGGAACTCTGATGCCTCACTCACCAGGATCCTTTCACTACCCCTTCTCCATATTCAGTCTCCCTCCTCTGCCTCCCATCTTGCATTTGAGTTACTTGTGGTTCTTCCCTCTTCCTAGAATATCCTTTCCCACTTCCTGGCCTTTGTACCGGTTGTTTCCTCAGCCTGTGAATGCCTCAAGTGCAAGGACCCTGTCTGATTCTTTTTATTATCCCCAGCATGGCATCTGTTCACTCATTCCACAAATATTGTGGAGAGGCCACAATGTGTCAGGCTCTCTGCTAGGTACCGGGATATAGGAGTGAGCAAGGAGGACAAGGTCTCTGTCTTCAAGGCATTCACAGTCCAGCCAGGGAGACATTAAACATACAAGTATATAGTGATAAATTTTGATAAGTTCCAGAGAGAAATGGAAAAAGTTTAGTGATGCAGAACAATGAGGAGGAGATTATTTGGGTTGAGGTCAGGGAAGTCCTTTCTGGTGATATTTAAGCTGTGGCCCGAAGATGGGAAGGCGCTGGTCCAGCAGAAGGGAAGAGGAGGATGTCCGAGGCAGAGGGAATAGCACAGGCTGCAGAACAGGATAACTGCCTGCAGCTGGAGGGGCTGGGGAGAAGGGAGTGGTGAGACAATGGGCAGAGGGCCAAATCACCATGCTCAGCAGCCTGGAAGAGTTTAAGAAGGAATGACTTTAACAATGATATTCCATCTAAATTGCACCCCTCAACTAGCTTTTAGATTCTGCCTTACCCTGCTCTATTTTTCCCCCATAGCACTCATCCTCTTCTAAGATACTATGCAATTACTTATTTTTGTGTTTGGCTTTTATTGTCTGTCTCTCCCAACTAAAATGAAAGCTCTACAAGAGCGTGTAGCGTTGTGTCTTATCCCGCATCCTCAGAGTAGAAAACAGGGCTGGGCACAGAGTAGGTGCCCTATAAATGTTGAATGAATGAAAGAATTGCCCAGAGCTAGCGATGGGTCAGTGACATAAAGTCCTGCCTGACCCACTAACACTATTTACCGGAGTTAGGGCTGGCTTAGAACTTGCGCAAGACACGTAACCGCTCCCGGCCTCAGTTTTCTCATCTGCCAAATGGAAAGTTGGACACAGAGGCCCTTCAGTGTCTTTGCAACTGGGGTAGAGAGGCAAGGGGCAGGCCTTGTCCCGCGCTGGGGTCCTTTTCTGGACCTGTCAAGGTGTCTCTGGTGCCTCAGAGGAGTGGCTTCGTCTCTCCAGGCCTCAGTTTCCCCATTTAAGCAGAGGGCTCGGGAGGCCTTACCCATGCATGGGCAGTAGAGCAGGTAACCGGCCGGGTCCCAGGAGCCCGCCGACAGCCCCGGAAGCTGCAGAAGCAGCAGCAGGAGAGACACACGCGGCAGCAAGGACGACGATGCCCACTCGGCAGCGCCCATATCGGTTCCGGAGCGCGCGCGCGCGCGCCGCAGCGCGGAGGCGGAGAGTGGACTGGAGGAGCGTCCGCCCCGCTCCCGGCGGTCCTC